ATATATATATATATATATATATATATATATATATATATATATATATATGACTAAAATATCATGCTGTAAAGTAGGCAACAAGCATTATTAAGCGTGTGTGGACTTGCGCGTAATGGACCACAATTTCCACAGAAGCTGTAATTAAAAGTAATTAAATATATTTTACACAGATGGGTTTTTAGTGCCTCTCTGCTTCGTGACTTACCGCATAAAATCGAAGTGGAGAAAAGGCAGAGGGTAGTCCGAATGTCAGCATACTCCTACCATTTTTAAATGTGGGCAATCGACGCATCAGAGAGGGGGGCGAACTGCGTCTCTCTGGTCCAGTGCGAGCTCCGATTAAAAAAGGAAAAAAAAGAGGGGAAAAGGAAAAGTTCAAAGCGCTCCTTCTCCCCTGAGTCCTCTCTTCTGCTTGTCTAGCTGGGATCCAGTTATTCCAATTCACGAAGGGAGACGCTCAAGCGCTCTGGTCCAGGGATGATGGGTGTGCAACCTCCGCAGAGTTAATTAAGATTAAAGTTGAAAGTTCCATGCAACTGATTTAGATTGGGCTATTGTTGGAGCCTTCTTGTGCAGGGGGGAGTTGGAACAGCAGCTGTCAAACTCGCGTTCTGCTCCGCGCTGCTTGCGCCGCGCGCTCTGTTTAGTTAACCAATCTGAAATGTGTGGGTCTCGCGCTGTCATTTGCATGCTGTAGAGGTGGACAGGAGTGGGAACTGTTGTCAGGGTAACTGTAGTGTGCACAAGTGCTTCCGCTCGGGACTTTATAAATAAAAGCCACAAACTGAATGTTAAATAAAACATGGATTTTACTGGCTTTTTTTTTTTGTGACCTTATCAAGCTTTCCAAAACATCTTTGAAAAAATAAAAAAAAATGCTGTTTAAAAATTTTGTTTAAAAGAGCTTTTTGTTGTGAAACTCTCTTACATTTTTAGTTATGAATCTGATTTTAGTTTTGGAAAATACCATCAAGCTTCCGTCAATGTATTGGTAATACTGAGATGAGTATTTTTATTTTATATTTTCCAGCATGCCGGTGCGCGCCCTAGCGACAAGACTTGGCAAGCGTTGAAGGAGTATCTCCTTATACCAGTAAATATTAGCCAATGCGGTTATATTTGGGCATATTGTTCTGCTAGAATCCACTTTAAAACATTTTTGATCATTAGAATTTATTGCTACACCTTTTATTTGTTTAATTATTAAAAACTTTTAGATCAAGCAAATTTGGCTATTTTTCCCCACCGTGCCATAACTGAAATTATACATAATTAAAATTTCTTCCATACATTATTCTAATTTCGTATCTGCTATAATCTTTATGCATGAATACTGCAAGACTATCCCTTATTAAGAGAAAGGAAGATATAGCTATCATTATATAAAGATGTAATTCTAACATGGAAAACCTTTTCCTAAAGTGCATCCAATGACTCTCCCGTACATAAGGCTTCTAAACGAAAATAAAAAAAACATCCAACGCACTGTGCACACACTTTAGGTGATGTCATAAATTCTGATTAAGTTTTAAGCCTACTTTGGAATGGAAAATTCTGATTTATTTATTTTTTTTTTAAAGAACCTGACACCTATAGGAAAAGTAACGAGCAAACCATCCATATTTTCTAAATAAAGACTAACTACAGCCTTTGCTAACAAATAGATAAAAGGTATAGAGGATAAAACTCAGTTTTGAGTTTGGGGGCGGTGTCATTACTTAACTACTTGTATCAATAAACATTCTGCATAAAAGGGATATTTACAAGCACTAATATCTACATAAATTGATTTTTTGATAAGTTCTTAATCAAAATTGTTATCTATATATTTCACTGACGACTCCAAGAGGACTTGCAGAGACAGATGATTTTCTCTTTACCCCATAAAATACAAAATCTAGTTTTGAAAAGAGCATGAATTCTGTACTTTTCTTTGATGTTAGTATATTGATGTGTATAGTTGACCACAAAAAAATAAAATGTTTTGAATATTCCACTTGAGAGTTTTACTGCTGCCACCATCTGTACAAGAGGGGAAAAATGGTAGGGGGGGCCACAGGGGTGGCCAATGATTGGGTAAGGGTGGCCATGGCCACCCCGGCCCCCCATCTAGCTCCGCCCCTGTATCTATTAACCACTGCAGACAATTCAATTGACAATTGAAAGCAAATATTCTTGATGGAATAATTAACTAATCAGAAACAAGCAAAGCTGTCAGGAGGGTTGTTCACCATTAACATTTTTCATAAACCTGACACAATAAATACAGAAATCATTTTAAGTAATATGGCTGGACCTAGAAAACTTCCTCTGAGTACACAATCCCCACGCAATTCTGCAGCATGACAATAAACCAGATAATAAAGCTGTAAAACTTCAGTAGCCTATGAATAAAGAAAATAAACTTTTCTGCACAGAAGAGGCATAAAATGTCTCCCAAGTGTTGTAAAATGCTTTTTTTAATGATGGTGAATACTTAAAGACAGCTGTTGCCGCCAAAGGAAGCAAAGCCAGTATTCAGATTCAGGGGCAGCACTTTCCCCAAAAAAGTGTTGATTTGAATAGCTTTTCTTTAATATATAGAATTGTCCTTTGAAATCTGTAGTAGTCTAATGATGTATTGTAGATATAACTGTTTAATAATGCACATCATTATATTTGTTATATCAAGTGGTTTCAGTAACTGTATGATAATTATTTTTAACGTTTCAAAACTTTGTTTAAGGACTGAGTGTCCATGCATAGACTCCTCCCACTCATTTTGCTATTTGCTTTGCTGGTGCCATAGTGAGGCAGAGCCAGTTAGTCTGACAGAGCAGCTATATGTCACTCTTAAACAGAGCAACTCCTTAATGAGGTCCCTACCTAATTGTTTGCAAAAAAAATAAAAAAATAAAAAAATCTTACACTGATAAGCTTTAATTAACCTGCTGCTCTCAGCCCCAAGGACAAATACAATGCTGTATACAGCTGGCACAAACAGATAATGCCTCCAAAGTAGAGTTGTTGTTTAACATAAAAAGGAAACGCTAGTTTACCAGTGAAGTGTATATTTATTAAACTTGTAAGAGAACAAAAAGGCTTCTTGATAAATAAAATCAGGCTTTGTGCAGAGGAAACATTAATCCATCAAACCGCCAACAGGAAGCAAGCTGCTTTGTGTCCTTGAAAATGACTCCAGCGCTACTAGTGCCAGCTGAGTTGTTGCTGAATCCGACCCCTAACCTCCCTGTGGCGCGGACACTCATAAACCATCACCATCATCCTGACTCAAGCTGCCGCGCGACGATTTTCAAAGCGCCAAATAGTTTGTCTGATTAAACTGCTGTAAGTAACTTAGGGAAAGACAGTGATTAATCTGACTTTAACCCAGTCCTCTGGCCTGTTATTCTCCTCAGGCTCACATGCTGATCACTTTCAGATGGGTTAAGAATGTCTCCCTCAGTTTCTGCTTTAGTGCATTGGCTGCTTAAAAGCTAGTGGGGTTGTCATGGATTAGAGTACATTTGCTCCCATCTGGAACATCAGAGTGGCGCTTGACCTCTCTGATGACCCAACCTAGATAGTCTCTCGGAAGAGGCTGTCGGAGAAATGAGGAAGCAGACTTTAATAACTTAGAAAGGTTATAACCCTAAAATTACACAAGAAGCTTAGTCTAGATTTTCTTTCAGTGAGTTACCAATGAATGTCAACGGTAGTTGTAGTGTAATTTGTCAATGCACATGGCTTCAAGCAAAAAACATAAAAAATATGAGGCAAATTTAATCTTGGATACTGTAATCCTGCAATAAAAAGTAACCGCTCTGTAGTGAAATGCTTTTCTAAGTACAGCTTTCATACCTAATTCTGTAGAACTTTGATGCCACTGATTTCAAAGGTCTGTCTGGATTTTATCTGCAAGTCATGCGCAATGGTGATAAACACATTCAGCTATGGAATGGAAATACAGTACATGTTTGAAGAATTTCAGCATGTTTGAGATGTCAAAATGTAAAAAGTTTCTAAACATTTTTTTTTTATTTTAAATGAAAAGGAAAATTAACATGGACGGATGGATGCATGGATTGATAATTCAACTGATGGATAAGTGGGATGGGTGGAGACATACTTTTTATCAGTTGATTTTGTTAGCTTAAAACAGCTAAATTCTATTTTATACTCTAGGAGGTGAGTTCAAAAACACTACTATATTATAGATGACAAATGTTAAAAAGCTATAATTAGCAGATCTTATTTTATTACGTCTAAAATAAACTTGGCTAATTATTATCTGGCTAAAGTCAACTTTGTTCTGATCCAGTTCAGCAGTGCGTGTCTAGAGAACTATGGTTAAAAAACATATTTGTCTCTTTTTTGTTATTGAAATGTAAATACAACCTTTATTTCCATTGCAAAGTAGGCTTAGTTTTTTTTTTAATAAAGAAAAGATAAGATGAATATCTATTTTGTTTGCATGTGATGCTTTGGGGCTCAAGGTAATGACAAGCCCCACTGTTGATGTAGTTATCATTTCACTGACGGCACACTATGTTTAATTATTTACTGCTTTTCCATCGGTGTGTTGTTTGAACAAACAATGAGGCGCTTTTTGCTCATAACCAGAGATAAGGTGCAGCAGTCATGGACAGATGGTTTCATCAATAGAGACTAGGTCTCATAACAAACTGTACCTGATTAACAAATGAGTTTCGTGCTACTTAGACCTGCATGAATGTACCTGAAAGATTACCAAGCTGTAGATGACACCATGGACACATAGCAGGAATAAACATTTACGTGAATAATTGTATTCAAATTCATATCAAAAACTCATCTCAGATCTGGTTACCTGACAGTCCAGCAACACATCTCATAATGCAGCCCATAGAGGAAACATGGATCCTTCTGTGCGTTTTAGTCGGATGAAAGGATTCGGTACAATCTGGCTACATAACAACTACATAAATATTAGGTTTATCCCCTTATTGGCATGTTTCTTTTCAGGTTAAGGCCAAACAGCATTTGTTTTTTTTATCAATGTTTTTAAGTATTTCTTTACTAAGATATTTTAGCAGCAGATTGTTGAGCACAGATATGTTGGATTTGTTTTAATGTGGAATAAAACCTGTATAACACTTAATTGATTTTACAACACAGATTTTCCTTGAACTAATTCTGAAAATTATGATGTAACAATAGACCAATGGCTTGTTTGGAAAAGTTGCAAAGAGAATCCATCTTCTCTCCTCAACTAATACGACAGCATGACTTTTGTTTGGAGACATGAAAGAGCAATAGCTGGTGGCATGCTTTGGTGGTGCAGTGGTTAGCGTGCCTGAGCCATGTACGGAGGTCTTATGCTACGTTCAGACCACAAGTGGTGGAAGCAGCAAAAAAGCTTCTGCTGCCTTACTTTGATGCTTGCACTCATTAAAGGAAAAGTCCGGTCAGGACTTTGGACCAGAATCATCAATGGATCATTATCTATACCTAATACTAATATGTTTGCTGTGATTTGCCAAATTTAGCATTAATCAGTTAAAATATATATTTTTCGTTGCGATCACTGAGCGGTTTTTGCCTAAAATATATAGTAGTGATGTCACGGTGTGGTAAGCCTAGCTCCATTCTCCCAGCTTTACAAGCAAAATCAAAATCAACTACTAGACACATCTGCAATCAACA